ACGATCCAATAATTTGTTAAAATTGGTTAGGATTAATAATTGGAGCCTTCATTTTAGGTCTAATTTCACTTTAGTTCTTTAATTTAGGTGAATTTTTGTTTGGTCCTCGCTTTTATACCTGAGGTTCCATTTTAATTATTCGATTCAATAAATATCAAAATTGATTAGGATTAATATTAGAGTCTTCATTGTAGGTTAATTTTACTTTATTCCTTTAATTTAGGATTTTTTTTTAATTTGATCCTCGCTTTTATGCATGAGGTTCCATCTTAATTATTCAATCCAATAATTGGTTAAAATTGATTAGGATTAATATTAAAGCCTTCACCTTAGGTCTAATTTCACTTTAGTTCTTTAATTTAGGTGAATTTTTTATTTGATCCTCGCTTTTATGCCCGAGGTTCTATTTTAATTATTTGATTCAATAAATTATTAAAATTGGTTAGAATTAATATTAGAGCCTACATTTTAGGTTTAATCCTTTAGGTTCTTAAAATTCATAATTTCACACTTTAGTTAGAGGGAACCCTTAATTAGATCACTTGGTATAATTAGGTTCAATAATTGATTGTTTGCTTGCATAATTTGATTTCAAAACAGGGCAATGTTCATTTATTAGGGGTTAATAATGTATCTCCTGCATTATGCCTAGGGATGACCACTATTGATTCCCAAAGTTAATCAACATCATTTTCAAAATCTTGCATCATGATTTTTAAATTATCAAGACAAATTTTATTTATTGTGATGAATAGTGAAACTTCCGCTTGTGCTTGAGGATATTCGTTATTGGTCCTAATAAATTAATACCAGTTTTAAATTTACATACATAACGAGTTTTATATTAAATAAAACTTCGAACTTAAATTTTCTAATTTTAAAACATAGGGTATCAATTATATATACCAATTTTTTGGGCGTTTGTGGGGGTGCTATTCCTTCCCCCACGTATAACTGACTCTCGAACCGATTTTTGATTTTGCAGATCAAAACATTGATATTTTTAGTAAAATAAAATGTTCTATTAAAATACCCGATTTTAGATGTTTCAATCTCACCTTAAAAACAATTGGTGGCAACTCCCATCTTTTCACAAACGTTTTTCAAAAACCATTGTCAATTATATATACCAATTTTTTGGGCGTTTGTGGGGGTGCTATTCCTTCCCCCACGTGTAACTGACTCTCGAAACCGATTTTTGATTTTGCAGATCAAAACATTGATATTTTTAGTAAAATAAAATGTTCTATTAAAATACCCGATTTTAGATGTTTAATCTCACCTTAAAAACAATTGGTGGCAACTCCCATCTTTTCACAAACGATTTTCAAAAACCATTGTCAAGCACGCCCCGAATGTCGTTACGCCAATATTAAATTCACAACCTAAAAAAAAAGAGGTATCAACATAGAACTTTTTTAACCATATTCTTTAGAGATTATTAACTTTATTCAAATTCTTAGTTTCATTCTCATACTATGTTTTCTCAATTTCTATAATATATTAGTATTTTGTCTTATTTCTATTTTTCTTAAAAAAATTTGTTATCTATATTCATTTAATGGGTTTAATTATAATATATTACCTTTTGATTATAAATAAATAAGTTGTTCAATTTATTGATATTTTATAATAAATAATTATTTTTTTCTTTTGAATACATTTTACTTAATAGAAGAGAAAGAAGAATTTTACTCCTAAAAAATACTGAAACTATAATTAAAAAATATTAATTAAAAATTTAATCATTTATTCTAAAAATTATTCACAAATAATTTTTTTTTTTCAAAAAATCTGATAATGTGCTAGAATATTGTAGTAACAATATATTAGATAGCTAAACGTATACAAAAAGTGCTGGTGTGTATTTTAGATATGTTTCTAAAGAAACGTGGCACGTGCTGAAACGCTGAGCCGGGAAAAGGCGCCTTCTACAAACAACCACCACGGCTGAGAAGTGGGAACCAATTTCCAATTTTGGTTACCTCTCAAAGCTGAAAAGCCATGAACTTTGTTCTGGAACCTCCACCTCCGCCCCAACCCAAATCAGCTGCCCCGTTCAAATGCCGGTTCACCTCCATTCGAACCGGTTTACCCCCAACAAACCACCAACTGAGAACCTCTCGTTTTCCACTTCATCCCACTTTCAGCTCTAGGCCCACTGTCACCGCGGCTTTGAAGTTGGAGAAGGATAAAATTTTGGTGACTCAGCAAAAGGACCCGCCGGTGAGGATAGCCGCAGTGGTTGGTAAAGAAAGCGTCAGCCGACTCAAATGCGCCACCTGGGAGGAGGTTAGACTGACACTGTAAGCGCTACAATTTTGGTTGTCATTTTTCATTTTAAACTTAATTCAAGCTTTCATAGGTTGTTAAATCGCGTATGAAAAAAAGTTAAACAATTTAATCTGGATATTGATAACGGAATAGATCGCATATGAACTTTTTCTGTTGAGCTATTGTGGAATTTTGATATTACTGTTTTTGGACCTGGATATTGTTTCTTGATTGTGTATGTGATACTGATCAGGCAAAAAGAATGAAATGGGTGGATGAAGGATATGAAATGGTTGTTACCACTGACAATTTCGATCAATCTAATGCTGATCAAACAGCGATGGATCTGCAAAAGGAATTGGCTTGCGCTGGTATTTTGGTGGTTGTAGTTGTTACGGATCCGGACTCGGTTAAATGGTTACTGACAGATACTGAAAGCGTCCCTAACATAATCTGCTTTGAATCCGATCCGGGATTGGTTAACAAATTAGGAGGCTCTTATGTCCACAGTGAAACGGAAAGTAGTGTATTCGACAAAATAGTGGGAATTTCTCAGCTTAAGAAAACAAATGAAACGAAGGAAGTTGTGCAAACTGTATCGGAGGCATGGGACTGGCATAATTCTGATGATATAAGGTTCTGTTTGTTGGTTATCATTAACGCTTATATTCGACCGGTCCCTGTCTTGAAAAACTTGAGATCAAAGGGCTTTTCTACCCTAAATTGTATAGTGCAGAATTGTGGACCTCAAATATTGGATTGCCTTATGGATCCTAATTGCAGGAAAGCTCTTCAATGCTTGAACAAGTGCAGCCCCGTAGATCAAGTGTGCAATTATCGGTGTATTGCTTCATATGAAAGTCCGAAACTGGAAGCATTTTCTCTATGCGTTCTTTAGAAAAACAATTGTCTTGATTTAGATGCTAAGATCCCCGAAAAGCCGTATGTGCAGCCTATGGTTAAGTTCCGAGGGAAAGACTTGTGCCACGAAACTGCTGAAGACATGTTTGTTGGTTGGTTGGGGAGTTTGGATTGGAGTTGGCGAGTTGTAGCAGGGCAGAACCTAGCATACGATCAATTTCCATGTCAGTGCCAGGCAAAGGGATCATTTTGGTAAGCCAGTTTTCCAGGTTAAAACTTTAGACAGAGAATTGGTCTAGAGGAGGCGTAAATATCGAGTGAAGACGGCAAACATTCCCGGGACATTTTACTTCAGCGTCCTGGATAACGGGGTTGTTTCAAATGAGTTTTGGACAATGTCGATGTATGTGAAGATTTCAGTTGGGGATTGTTTCATTACCATGGGGCAGCAAGAGTGGCTGGACAGTCATATACCGGTGCAGTGCTGGTTAGTCCGGATGGGGCATACCCTAAACAGACACAGGGCGGCAGATTATCAACAGCTTTGGAAAAATATGGAATCAAGGAATGGGAATTATATACAGTTGATAACTGTTCATGCCAAGATCCTCCATTAGGAATTCCACAAGGTTCGAGTTTACATGCCGTGGTCGATGTAAAAGACCAGAGCTGGGCTTCAGTTTAAGGATGACCTGATGTTACGACATTGGTGCTCAATTACTATGGCAATGAGAATGTGATACTATGGTTACTATTTATTTACCATACAATACAGAAATAATAATATTTTGTTGTGAATCAAATACTACCAAATCAATAGAATTTAGAACGAAGCAACAAAGTTGACGCTTTTTGAAGTTCTGTAGCAATAGAAACACAGTTTCGATGAACTCGGTGAGTTGCCAATGAATGTCAGATCAGGCATTACTTATTCTGTCAATGTCATTGATATGTAACACTGACAAGTAAATACTGAGCAAGATCTGGTAAACATCGTAAACTAGCTCATCAAAACTAAATACCTGACGACTTAAATCTTGGAAGCATGGATTGGGATGGGGGTATCCAACGAGGAATACCCTTACAAAAATTAAGTCTGCCGCTTGAAGAGGAGAGCACACGATTTTCTTTAGTAAGAGGTGAAAGAATAGTTTACTCTGCTCATCACACATCACCATCATCAGTTCGGGAGCCTGCAACTAGTTGCTTTATAAACGCGAGGAAAAGCTGTTAACTTGCATTCGCAGTGCGACATGGGATAGTGGAACTTGGCTAGCTTGTGTTGATTTCATTTGAATCCATTTAATTTTGTACCAGAAAAAAAGAAAACACCAAGCTACCATCTCCAAAATAAAATAACCATAAATTATGCTCTCATGGTACTAGATATCGCAACTCCTAAAATTTTGACTACATTTATATATTTTATTAATCGGTTTCCAATAGAAAGTTGAGAGTCTAGAAATTTTTCTTTTGAAATTGAAGAAGATAATAAATGAAATTCTCATGAAGCTAAAGCGAGAATTAACAGTAATCATTTGTTTAATTTAAAACTGGAGGAATGACAAATGGAAATCAATTTCCATTTGGTTGAGGTAATATTATGAAAAACTAGAGTTGATACAATAGATATGATAGCTCGTCAATTAGTAAATACCACTTGAAATTATTTTCACAGTTCAGGTTTTTTCTTTTGTTTCATTATACCTTAAGTGAATACTTTCCTCTGGTAATTATTTCACCTCCATCCAATTGAAATGCCTTACTTCTTATTCCGGTTCCTTTTGAATGCCAAGGGAAAGTACAACTACAACATAAAGAGTTGGAAAGATTATTAAATAAGAAAAATATTAACTAGGAATTAGGAAGGGGCCGCGCGAACGCAGATCCCCACTGCCACAAATAATGACATAGGCTCTCTCTCACTTGAGGAGACCTTAGGCAGGTGCACTTTTCGAGTGCAATGAAAACCACCAACCTTGGCCATAGACCTTACTGATCGCCCATTGACCCCGTCCAGGTAAGTATGTTGCAAAGCACGCCCATACTTTTTCTTTATAAGCATTGCTCAACTCCCCTCTTTTCTGTCTTCCCAAGGTGGGTTTGAAGTTGTTATAAGAGAATAGTCGAGTTCTCAAATATGGGCAAATAAGCAAACCTGAAATGGTACGATATAGTTCAAATAAGAATCTGAAAGGATGATTGTAATTTAACTTCAAATCCTATGGCTCTGATGCGCAGTATCTATATGGTGCTCAAATTTGGGACAAATATGGTTTTGGTTTTGATGAGGTGATGAAGCACCATGTAATACCATTCTCCCATATTCGTACCCGAATACAAGTCAGAGATGTCACATTACACTTGTAAAACATTTCTTATTGGAATCAATAAAAAAATTCATAAAAATTTATTCATTTAAAACTTTTTTCACCAAAACTAGTTAATCGCGTAAAACAAAAAAGTAATATTTTGACATACAAATCAAACTCGGTTTCAGGCAACAATATGACAATTCAATACTATTTTATATCATAAGTAATACTGCTAAAAACTATCGGAATTAAAACTCATCTTTACTCTAATAAAATATAACTTTATCAATTATTAAACTAAAACTCCTATTATATATATATATATATATATATATATATATATATATATATTAAAAACTAAAGATACTCGTTTTTTTCATTTGAATATTATTTATATTTTATTATTATTATTATTATTATTATAATTATTATTATTATATTATTATTAAATAATTTTAATTATTTACTATTATAGACCCAACCCAAATACAGAGGCCCATATTTGGTGGCCCAATAGTAACCCTAAATGTTTAGGGTTTGTATCATCTCATGCCCCAGCCGCCAGCTAATCACCGCCGTTGGATCTGGAAAGATCCAACGGCCACCATTGAGCCATATGAAAACCCTAGGGTATGATACCCTAGGGCCACGTCGCCACTGCCTGAAGCTTCCAGTGCCACGCCACCTCGTCGCCGACACTCCTGAAGCTCTGCTGCCATGACTCTGACCGTCCACGTGGTTGCCTATGGTGAGTCACCACCATAGCTATGGTGACTCACCGGAAAATCACCAATAGAACCGGTCCAAGGCTAGTACCTGGATGGCTACAAAGCCTCATCACCTGCAAACAGAAAAAAAAAGAAACGAACAGGAAGCCACAACAAGCAAACACGGAGAGCAAGAGACCAAAGATTGAAGCAAAACACCAACAAACCACAAAGCAAACCACAAAACAAAAAGAGAAGAGCGAGAGAAACTTACCGAGGAAGACATCACTCGATCGGAGTCACTACTGCCTCCAAGCGTCACCAAAAACTTCGAAAACCGAAGGTACTTTCGTAGATTTGCTCCGATTGGGAGCTTTTTAGGGAAAAAGGACACCAGAATCGGCATTAGCATGTTTCGATCTATATTTTGGGGAGTTTTAAAATTTTTCGGCCACCGTGAACGGTGGCCGGCGGTGGTCATTGCCACCAGAGCGCGGTGGCGGCATGGTTGCCGGATTCTCTATGTCGAGAGAAATTTAGAAAGAGGCGAGAGAGTCCCTCTCCCAGAGAGAGAATGAAAAATTAAAAATGAAGCAAAATGGCTATTTTGGGCCGGTTAAAGGGTTTAAAAATCCTCTCCCAAATGATAGCGTTTTGGGGGAGGGCGTGTGCATAATTTCACTAAAGGGTAAACCCCTTCCGCAGTGTTCCACGTTTGTAATGTTCTCAATTTAGTCACTGAAATCAATTTTAATATGTTTTAATACGGTCTTCTAACTTTATTAATTTATAATTTAGTCCCTGCCATTATTTATATATTTTAGGATAAATACTTTATTTAGTCCCTGGTAATTTCAATTACTTTTATTTTGATCCCTAATAATTAATTAGGTCAAACTACACTATTTATACATATATTTTTAATAATTCAAATTAGGTCTGCGAATTTTAATATTTTACATTTAATAACTGATGTTTTATATAATTTTATTTTAGTCCCTAAATTAATAAAATAGAATATCTAATCCCTGTAGTTTTAAATAAATTATAAATTAAGTATTTAATTTTATTAGATTATAATTTAGTCTCTAAGATTAATATTTTCATTTATTTTACAAGCTTTATTACTTTTTACATTTTAATACTATGTTTTAATTTTATTAATCATATTTTACTTTCATATATTTATGATTATATATTTATCATTAGTATTACTATTATTATTTATTATTTATGTCAATATATATATAAATAATATTTATCTAATCTTATAAATATATATAAATAATATTTATTTATTTTATGAAAATCCTATTTATAAATTTAATATATTATTTTTAAATCATTTCAATCATATTTTAATATATATCAATATTAAGAAAGGACAGTCTTAAAGCAACTGGATGTCCATTTTCTGATATTTTTAAATAAAAAATATTTTAATATATAAATCTATTTTTATATTATTTTTTATTAAAATTTATTTATTTTTTAATATTAAGAAAGGAGCTGTCTTAAAGCACCTAGAAGCCCTTTTCTGATATTTCTAAATAAATAAATATCTTGTTTAATAAAATATATATATTAATATTATCTTAAAATTATATTAATAAACTTAACAGAATTATGGATTAAATATATTTTTGAACTTTTAAATTTCCAATAATAGAGACAATTTATAATTAATAAGTACCAATTTTGGGCGTTGTAGGGGTACTAATCCTTCCTTAAACGTAACCGACCACGAATCCCTTTTTATTTCTAAAAAGAACGATTTTTGGTTAAACGCAGATCAGTTTATCTTTTAACTGATGTTTTCTTAAAAATCTCTTTTAAAAAGTAATTTTTAGGTATTCGACCTACATAACCCAAAAAGCCGATGGCGACTTCCAAACCATTTTTTTAATTATTTTTTATCCACATTATTTTTCCCGCCAAGTAAAAATTTCGTGCTTGGACGAAAACCGGTTACGACAAAAACTATACCCATATGAGAGCATTTTTAATCCATTTCAAATTTAATCATATTAAAATATTGCAAACACTTATTATATGTATCATGACAACTAGAGTTAAAAACAACAGTGGGAAGTCATTTTTTACCAGTAATAAATCTTCGATATTTGATGCCAAGCTCACTTCCTTACTCCACTCGCTTTCTTTTACTTAGGCGTTAAACAATCACACGTTAAGTATAAACTTAGTAAGTCATTATCAAATATAAAATAAAACATACCAGTATATAAAATATCCCATAACTTATAGTACATAAAAATCATATAATAACATATGATCTTGTGAAACATATTTTCAAACCTTTCTTTAAACTGAAATCTAAAAATCAAAATTTCAGAATTCACATATCGAAATAAACAGTTCCTATATAAGGAATTTTATGTCAAATCAGAATATCCGATGAAAGCTTTACTTTCAATGAATCAGATAAACGTGCACTTTTCACATTAATTTAACTGACAACCCAATGTATAACAAATGAGAATACATGGTATGTGAGTCAGACAAGTGTACTCTATACAACATTACTTCCTATGAATATATTGCATATTTACTGCCCTGTGAATGCCAAGGGAAAGTACAACTACAACATAAAGGTTGGAAAGATTATTAAATAAGAAAAATATTAACTAGGAATTAGGAAGGGGCCGCGCGAACGCAGATCCCACTGCCACAAATAATGACATAGGCTCTCTCTCACTTGAGGAGACCTTAGGCAGGTGCACTTTTCGAGTGCAATGAAAACCACCAACCTTGGCCATAGACCTTACTGATCGCCCATTGACCCGTCCAGGTAAGTATGGTGCAAAGCACGCCCATACTTTTTCTTTATAAGCATTGCTCAACTCCCCTCTTTTCTGTCTTCCCAAGGTGGGTTTGAAGTTGTTATAAGAGAATAGCCGAGTTCTCAAATATGGGCAAATAAGCAAACCTGAAATGGTAAGATATAGTTCAAATAAGAATCTGAAAGGATGATTGTAATTTAACTTCAAATCCTATGGCTCTGATGCGCAGTATCTATATGGTGCTCAAATTTGGGACAAATATGGTTTTGGTTTTGATGAGGTGATGAAGCACCATGTAATACCATTCTCCCATATTCGTACTGGAATACAAGTCAGAGATATCACATTACACTTGTAAAACATTTCTTATTGGAATCAATAAAAAAATTCATAAAAATTTATTCATTTAAAACTTTTTTCACCAAAACTAGTTAATCGCGTAAAACCAAAAAGTAATATTTTGACATAAAAATCAAACTCGGTTTCAGGCAACAATATGACAATTCAATACTATTTTATATCATAAGTAATACTGCTAAAAACTATCGGAATTAAAACTCATCTTTACTCTAATAAAATATAACTTTATCAATTATTAATATATATATATATATTATATATATATATATATATATATATATATATATATATATATTAAAAACTATACCCATATGAGAATATTTTTAATCCATTTCAAATTTAATCATATTAAAATATTGCAGACACTTATTATATGTATCATGACAACTAGAGTTAAAAACAACAGTGGGAAGTCATTTTTTACCAGTAATAAATCTTCGATATTTGATGCCAAACTCACTTCCTTACTCCACTCGCTTTCTTTTACTTAGGCGTTAAACAATCACACGTTAAGTATAAACTTAGTAAGTCATTATCAAATATAAAATAAAACATACCAGTATATAAAATATCCCATAACTTATAGTACATAAAAATCATATAATAACATATGAACTTGTGAAACATATTTTCAAACCTTTCTTTAAACTGAAATCTAAAAATCAAAATTTCAGAATTCACATATCGAAATAAACAGTTCCTATATAAGGAATTTTATGTCAAATCAGAATATCCGATGAAAGCTTTACTTTCAATGAATCAGATAAACGTGCACTTTTCACATTAATTTAACTGACAACCCAATGTATAACAAATGAGAATGCATGGTATGTGAGTCAGACAAGTGTACTCTATACAACATTACTTCCTATGAATATATTGCATATTTACTGCCCTGTGAATCGATTTTACCATAGGTGTCATATAATCAGTTCGCACATATAATGCCCTATAATACCAGTATAGGTATTGTAGAACACAACAACATTGTACTTATAACCAGGAATACACCGCACTAGCATATTATATGTGCAAACAACATATCACATATGTGTCATAAAATGTATCACGTCCTCTCTGTAATGTACACGAATGTATCTATATAAGATCAATCAATAAACACTCCACCTCATGGCATGATAGTTGTACCAACAAATCTCAATGCACATACAATGTCTTTTTATCCAAAATCATATCAACTATTTATCATAAAATATCCATATATACTCATGTATAACAATTATCATAATTCAATACATTGGGCATTTCATACCTAAAATCATTCATAAACTATGTAGTAAAATATCATATAAAAATGTACTGGGTAATTCGTAATTGTACCCAAATTCATTTATAAACTTTTTCAGAAAATTATTATGAAAATATTTCATAGTACAATTCAAAATTGCCAAACTAGCTAACCTTTCAAGCGATATAAACGTCACTTTTGTACTTTATCCTTGTTTATAAACTTGCTTGAATCTTGATCACGATCTACATGAGAGTCAATTACACAAAATGCACATTTCAAAGCAGATGTTAGTATCTTTACTAACATGGTTGGCATATATTAATATAAAATTACCAAAAATACAATTAATACATATTCGATATAAACTCCATTTCACATAATCAATACTAACTTTAATACTTTAAATTACTTCAATTATTCTAATATTAATATTCATCCAATGGTTCCATATTCATCTCAATTTCGCATTCTTGACCAATAAAATGATTTCTTTTAGAATTCATCTCAACTTTTCTAATTTATTCAAAATGACTCCTTTACCATTTACCTTCACATTCAAGCTTCTAAAAGCATAATTAAACATTCCAACATTTAATTTAAATGTAGTACATCAACTATTACACAATTACCATTTCAAACTTCTATTTTCCATAATCTGCGATTTGGTTCCTATACTTGTACAAACTTCCAAATCAATCCAAATTAACATTCTAACATTAAAATCATCATTCTAACATTTAATTTCAACATAGTACATCAACCTTTAAACAATTTCATCTCAATCCCTCAATTTTCTAAAATATATGAAAAAGTCCCTATAACTTTACAAGTTCCAAATTGGTCCAAACAACTTTCCGAAGCATGTAGAATCATTCATACATCATTTCTAACCCTTGTATAATTTTTCTATAATATTTACTTAATATTTTCCTTTAGGTCGAATACCAAAGGCCACTTTGGCCTTGGTTCCAAACTTGATTCAAGCATGATTTCATCTTCTAAACATCATTTCCAATCAACTACAACCAATTCCATATCAATTTCAATTCAAATCCAATCTTCCCATAAAACCTTGTTTCAACCATTTTTAATTGTTTTTAACCATCATACAAGCTTGGAAATGAATCAACCATATAACTAACATCAAAATCCATCCTTAAATCATTAAAATTCAACTTCCCCTTCATCCACCATATTCATGAACCTAAGGATTTAAGCAAGGAAAGTATGAATAATTGGTACCAAATGATAGAGAATTTCATGGAGATTAATTCTCTATTTCATGTCTTGATCCAAAAATCAAAGAAAATGACTTAAAAATGAAAAAAGAAAAAAACATTCTTACATTTCATGGAGGTCACGGCATAAGGGGAAGATGGCTGATTTCTCTTAATTTTCCATTAAAAATATCTATTACACTTGTTAAACAGCTAATAAAAATGAATTAAAAAATCATTTTATACTAAATGACATTTTTACCCTTTAAAAATCATGATAATTGCCAAATTATCATGCTACAACACGCTTCCATCATCCTTACATCATCAAAGTCAAATATATACAAAGATTTTCTCATTTTCAAACTTTGTCCTTGTATTTTTTTCAAAACTCACAATCTTGTTATTTTTATCCAACAATCCCGATTTAACATGAAAAAATCAACTTAAATCCAATGATTCATGTTAAATTATACTAATTAAAAATATGAAAAATGAAATTATTAACCTTATACTGTCATCCTTTATTTTTTTTCTAAATTTTTAATTCGATTATCCAAATATTTTACGAACTTTATCGCTTTATAACTTTTGATACAAATTCTGGAATAAAATTTTGATTCCCATGAAAATGTCATTCTTGGAGGTGAACTATCTATTTACGAAATAAAATTTCTTTTAGAGAAAATTACCACTTTGATCCCTGAATTTTTTCCAAATTTATACTTTAACCACTAAACTTTCAAAAATTACATTTTGATCACTAGTCAAAATTTTGGTTATCACACACACCAAAAGATTTTCGCCTCAGGATTTCAATCACCACCCTTCCAATCAAACCATTTTGGTGGTGCTGTTGCAGCAGAAACACAACTTCCATAAACCAATTGTCGTGGACATTAAATATGATGCATGGCTCCTTATTTTGCATATGCATCTAAGCATTAATAATTGCAAAGTTGACCCCAACAAAATGAAATCAATACCGTACCCATGCTATAGAACAATATCATGTCTGCATTCATTCCCTCAACCACACATACCCAATGGCTGAATAGCAATTGATTTAGGCGGCCTACTTACACAACCAAAGCTGGCTGAAAACAGCGTCGGCTTACTCACTTTCCCACCTCAAAACTAAACTCTCCAAGCAATCCACGATCTGGTCATCGATAAAGATTTGAAGCTTGTTATATTTATTTTATAATTTGATTCTAAAACCCCCACTATTACTAAAATACAGAATTGTGTAAAAAGGAAAATCATCTAAAGACATTAGTACTTGAATTGGGATGGGGATATTAAGCAAGGAATACCCTTCCAAAAATTGGCGTATGCCACTTTGAGCAGAGAGCACACGATATTCTTTAATAAAAGGCGAAAGAATAGTTCGCTCTGTACCCACCACACGGCTCCATGAACCAGCAGGTGAGATTAGCTCTTTTATTTATTGAAGTCGGTTGGGATAGTCTTCTATATTTGGTAGCCATGTGGGATTGTGTTGCTCTCCAATTTCTACTCTCTAGACCTTCGGGCTCCACTCTCGTGCCAAATTACACACTTTTCTTTCTCTCATTTTTCCTGCCTTATTTTATAAAGCAACGGAGTAGGTTTAAACTCTAAAAGCCTTTTGTTTGATGGCTCTCCGAGATTGTTCTTCCTGAAAATATCAATTCCATGATGACGAAACCCAGCAAAATAAAGATAGGAGCAGTCACAAAAAGAGAGAGGAGAAAGATATAATGAAGGACAGAAATTGAAGGATTTTAATGATCACAAAATCCAGCAATGCATGTGCCCACCCACTCGCCTAAACAGCTTATCTTTTTTTCAACTCGATTCATTTACATTTGCTTTACCCAACAACAACAATAACATGGCCTCACCCTCCAACCAAACTTGTGGATCCTTCCTCTTTCCCTCCTTTTTTAGGAGTTTTTCTTTTATACATTATTATTAGTAAATACTAAACACTTGAATAATTGATGATTTTTTGCAATCTGATCTATTGTTTATTTGGGTATTGCAGAATGAGGTGTCATTTAAGGATATTTCAGATTAGTTTTATGCCATATATCAGTATATTTGCTGTACTCATTTTCATTCTTCCCTTTTTAATTATTCCCACTTTCAATGAGAGTTAAAATGGTGGTAAATGAATTGTTTTTTAATGAGATTTGATCAGTGAGCAGAGGTGATTATTGAGTGAGTCGATCGCAAAGTGAATAGGGGTATTTATCGAATGAGTCAGTCGTGAGTTAAATAGTATTTGATTTGATTTGAAAATTGTTCGACTATCGCTTGACTTTAAATTCAATAAGTCTAATAAACCTTTTGTCATGTTAGTAGTTCTGTTAATTTTTTAACCGTGGATATCAATTTAAAATCTAAACTAAACGTTAGACATGATTTAAAAAAAATTGAGAATCAAAATGCAACAAGGATAATAATTTAAATACTAAATGTGTAGTTTATCTTTTTTTTATATAGAAGTCTCTAGTTTTATTAAAAGGATGAAATATTTAGAATTACAATGATTATAATTATAAATGTAAATTAAACACATTATTAGGACATTTTCCTATAATCATTGACTGAAATTGACAAATAAAATAATTCTTATTTCTCAAATAAATGAATTAAGGTAGTATAGATAACTAGGGTCTATCCACATGGACAAAGGAAGTTTGATATTGTCGTTTCTTGGATTGAATTAATTGCAAAAATAAAAGGGGATTTTAGAAATAGCAAAAATAATAAAAATAAAAAGAAATAGTAAATAAAATAATGATGAAGAGTAAATAAAGTAAAGAATTCGATTGAGATGATTTAGCCTTAGGCTTTGTTTTGTCTCAATTTCAATCGATCATCAAAATAAATTTTCTACTTTAGATGCACGTCGATTATAGTCAACAAGACACAACCCTTGTAGCTAATTTTCTCTCCACTAACTGATATTTTCAAGTCTATTTCTGAAATTCAGTCCTTGTTGGACTAACCACGTCTATCGTCGTTAGCACCCGACAATTTTAAGTGTTAAAAAAGCCCGACTTGCTTTATAGCGTCTTATTGAGAATCGAACCCTATCTTGATCCCCTTAACAGATTGCCACTAAGTTTGTTCATAAAAAGTTGAACTAAACCAACCAATTCGTCTTCCCAACAGTAAACCAAAACAACATTCAAATCATTGTCGACTTTTTACTTAAGTACATGTTTTGTTTTGTTTTTTTTACTTGAGTACTTGTTTTTTTTTTACAGATAAAAGTCGTTAGTTTTATTAAAAAGGAAATAAAACATCTAGAATTACAATAAAGGTTTAATGTTATAATTGTAAACTAAATTTATAATACGATGTTTTCCTATAATCATTAACACAATAAACTTGTTACTTAAGATCACACAATGACCATACAAGAAAAAGGTTAAAAAACCTAACCAAATAAACTCAAACGAAAGATAGATACGAAGATCACATCGACAAACGAATCACAAAAGAGGATCAAGCTATTGAAAGATCACTGACAAACCACTTACTAGAGTCAAGCATTGTGAAAAAACTATCCATGAACATAAATTGTGTATCCAATCTGAGGGTCCAAAGTAAGAAATGTCATCATGATAACAAAAATGTGTTATCTTAATTAGTCGTGAGGATATTAAATTCAACCTTAATAAAAAGGCTAAAGGAAAAAAAGATTAAATGAATGAAAGCGTGTCAAAAGGTAGATAAAAACGTGTCATAAAAATAAATTATAAAAAACTAACAAAATCAAAAGAAAATCAAAGATGTAATCTAAGAAAATAGAAAAATAAGAAAAATTAATAACGAAATTAAGCGTTAAAGATGATATTACCGCCTATCAATCAAAGATAGAGATAAGCTAAACGGCTACTAAAATTTTAGAGAGAAGGTTTACTTTGAATACTTGTTAGATTGGGATATATATGATTCGACCCATAAATTTAAATCGGAGCATAGTTTAGGTCTAAAGTAGTTAGACAATGTAAGTGATATAACGATGAGTTGTAACATATTTTGTTTTACCGAAAATAATTTCTGAAAAATGAATTACATTTCATAGAAAATAAATTACAGAAATTATTTTCTGATGTTTGAACAAAGTTGTGCAAATCATTTTCCTTTGTTTGATAGTTTTTTTCTGAAAATAATTTTCAAAATCTAATTTTCATTAAATAAACTCATCTTATAATCTTATTATTATTTTGTCTTTTATTTTTTATTTATTTAATATTATAATTATAAAATTATATTTTTAACCAAATTTGTATATGATTACATTGTTTTCATTGAAGTAAATCTTGTAGATCATCAAACTTTTCTTGTAACTCTCATGTGTTCCATTGTCATTCTTACTGGTACATGTCCAAGGTGTTTCATCCCTTCTATAACCTTTCTTTCACGTCTTTCAAAAAAATATTTTCAATTGTTGCAAAAAGTCAAAAAAAATTAGGCATTACTAACAAAAAAATGTTAATTTAATCAACATTCCTAAACAATTATAATAAGACAATTTATTTTCTTTGAGCATTGCTAATAAATATTCCGTAACATTACTAATCAAGATCTTGAAATGTAAAGAGATCAGGTTGTTAATGATCTTTTAGTAAGACAATTTATATTCTAACTTATTTGTACAAGTTAATTCATTTTTGCCTTTCAATTTTTAAAAAGAAGCATCATTCAACAATTAAATTGATGGTATGAAATAAACTATAACAATTTGACTCAATTTGTGATCATCACTGGAAGTCTTCAAATAAACATGCACAAGCATAATCCATTAAAATATAACAAATTACTTCAAGCCAACATTGTTATTAACAAAATTAGTAAAGTATAAAACAAAAGAAAAATAATGTATGGAACTATCTTATAAAATCATTGTAATAGTAAAATCATGTATCACTAATAGTAATATGTATTGTAAATTTGAAGAGTCCAAATAAAATTTTTGGAGTGGACAAGTCAATATCTCGACAAACCAGATGACTAATTTCTTCACTATCTACATTCAATTTTCCTTGTAAATAGACAATATTTAACTCTGACAATCCAAAGACTTGTTGAGCTTCATCAATATTATGATTATTCAAAGATGAATTTGCATATATAAAAGTGAATGCAAGAACATAACAATTCTTACTAAAATGATACAAATTTTAAAAATTTAGAATTACTAACATTAGTTGTACTGAAGAAACAAACTCTGGAAATAATGCAAGGAAACTACAATGTCTTTAATAAATAGACAGAACCTAGAAAACATTGTATAACCAAATCAAAACTTTAAAAGTCCATCTACATATCTTATAACTCAAAAGTTCAATCTCTAATATTTTTTTATTTTCCAAAAAAATACTAAAACAAAGAAAATTTCCTTTATACTTGTAGACACTTTAAAATCCCCTAAAATACAAGCATGAATATTTCACAATTTGAGAAAATGCACCAACTTAAAAAAAATTAACAAAGAAATCAATAATCTAAAAGTAAATTTCTCAAACCAGACAAGAATACCACGGAAATTTTACTTTCAAAACGAAATTCGAATATTGAAAATAAAAATGAACCCTAATCTAGAACAAACAAATGAAAAGGAAATATCAAGATGAAGAATCTGGGAAAGAAGACATTAATGAAGGAAGCAAAGATTTTTTTTTTGAAATAGGGTACCTTGTATTAAAGAGATGACAAAGTACACCACCTCAAGGACATCATTAAAAAAGCCTTGAGGTGGAAAAGATCAGAAACAGTTTTGATAATACAACAAATATAGACACATCCCAGACCCTAAAAACAGAACACAAACCAGAAAAACAGACCTCCTTGAATATCATAGAAACTGCCATACAAATAACGCTGTACACTATGCATGAACCTGAGATTTTGAAACCGAAAAAAAACACAGTTGCCGAACCAGCTGAAAGACAAAACAACAGTAACCAGAATAAGATGAACAACTCAGTTAATCTATGACAAAACTGTCTAATAACCACAAGAAAGAACAATAGATTCCGGGCCACGAACAAAGTGTTGAACATGAGGAATCAACGATGGCCATGAATAGTGTGCCCAAACCCCAATTTAAAATAAAGCATTATTAAAGATCTTATCAATCGAAAAAGAGTCACCATTAAACCTTGTTTTATTTCTGCATAATCAGATTATCCATATCAAACCAAATAAACCCAGATGCCATAATGCCCGAACTCTTCTCTTTACTTTTTGAGCAAACCATACCTCAATTAGCTGTTTAACATTCAACGGGAAAACCAAATTTATTTTCCACACACTAGAACAACATTGCCAAACTACCTCGCAATGGCAAAGAACGTAATTAATAGATTCTGGTTCACGGTTACAAAACAAGCAGTGGGAATTTTCAATGCA